CAATAACTCAATTAAAATATAGATAGCTAAGATTTATTAATATCTAATTCAAAAATATAGAAAACCAAATTTTAATTCTAATGACTAGCATTAATTATATCTCAAAGTCAGAATTTAGAAGCACTCATAACACATTCAAAATTTCTGCTTCGTAATACTCAAAGGATAGAATTTCAAAAATCTGTTATTAATATAAATTGCAAAATAATAAAAAAAATTAAAAAAACTTAACACTTTTTAAAGACAAAACCATTGCTAATTAAATTCTTAAAAGATGCTACTGAATTCCATAAAGGTAAAAATAATTATGATTGAAGAGTATTTATATAATTAGACTGAGATTCTAGAACAGCGGCTTCAAACTTGAGAAGTTTATAGCAAGATATTAATATAACAAACTCAACAATATAATTGCAAACACGAGCTCAGAATAAAGGATACTTACCGTATTTGCGTGTAATAATGCACATGTATATTATTTCGAAATTGCCACTTTTTTAAAAATCACCTATTTGACTCAAAATAACACATATATGTGTTCTGAAATAACGCACTCCCCTAAAAGTTTGCACAATAAATATATGTATAACGCATATGTCTATTAAATTATTGGCAATATTGATCTGAAATATCACATATATGCGTCCCAAAATAATATACAGATACTCAAAATAACAAACAGATGTGTGTTATTACGCGAAAATACAGTATCTGATTTAGGATTTAACAGAAAAATATAAATAATTATAAAGTGAATATCTATAGAAACAGAAAATTCAAACTTAGAATAGACAAAAAAACCGTTAATAAAAATGTGTTTTAATATGAGCAAGAAATGCAAAGCCAGTCAAGAAGAAAAGATAATTAAGTAACTTATGCAAATCTGAAACCAAACTATGTCAATATCACTATTAAAAACTGGTACTAGTGAAAAAACCCAGCTTGATCAGACAAATCAAATTCTTTTTTTATGTTCATTGAGAGTGATGCTTAAGAATGCCTATTAACAATCAAGTTGGGATAAAATATTAGACAGCTAAACGTAATAGTCAGTGATTAAGCAACGTTCATTGAGAGTAAAGTTTGAGAATACCCATTAATAATAAAATCTGTGAATTAGAAGTTAGACAATTAAATGTAGCAGTTTGTGACCAAATGATGACTAGAAGGATCCTTCTGATAAACTAATATATTATTAAATGAAATATTCGAAAATAGAAAAAATAGAAAAATAAAAATTTAAGAATTTGGCGACAATAATGAATTGGATTAAAGTAGCAAAGTAATTGATCATTATTTAAAAGCATTAGAAACATGAGATATAGAATTATAAATAAACTAAAAAAAAACAAGAGAATGATATTAAATACAACAAAGCTTGAGAATTTATCTGCAATTAGGTCTCCAAAGTTGATTTTCATCCAAGTTGTCCAAAGCAAATATTATATATAATTGTTGAGCTCTGTTCTTCAAGAGTTCAACTAAGACCGTTCAAACTTGAAAATTAACTCGAAGAGCCTTTTCAATTTTCTTACAAACAGTCAAGCTAACCTCATAAAGTTAAACACATAACAACTCTAAAAATAAATAGAACTAGTATAAAAAAAAAGAGTAATGAATATATGAGTATCACTAAAAGAAAATCTGAAAATTTAAATATAAGTTATATTTAAATTGTTGGGTTTTCCTTTTAGCGATACTCATATTTAAAAGTATGATTGCACAAATATACAGGATCACATTATCGTATAATATGAAAATTAATATACACAAATGCTGAAATGAGAAATATTAGGTAAAGATAAATGTTACAAGCTTGAATAACATATTATAAATGTATTGATCAATATTTTTTTCTACTTATCCACTAAATTTACGCGAATATAATTGATTAATTAAAAGACATTTGTAGTGATAACTATTTATAAAAAAGTTTTTACAGTAAGACTATACAAATTAAATGTCTTAGTTTTTATAGCATAAAACTAATAGACCCAGCTAGCTTTTTTAAATTTCTTCTATAAAAATTTTTTAAAAAAATTTTAAAAGCCCACACAATTATTTGATATGACCGGGTTATGAAAACCAATTAATTGATTTTGCCTAATTACATTGATAAATAAGGATTTTAAAAAATGGTGCACTTGCACCACGGTGCACCCTGGATCACGTGATCGATGGCACACTCTGGATCACATGATCGATGTAATCAACGATATGATTTTTTATTAAAAATTTTACTTATACAAGAGCGATTAATTTATTAAACTTGCACGGCATGATACAACAATTATGTCACATTACAAATCACATCAACTACCTGATCACGATTACTAAAAAACTACCAAATATACCCTACCTACTCTAACATTAACTTATACCTAACAGCAAAAACAAAGAATTAAAAATCACATCAACTACCTGATCGCGATTACAAAAAAACTACCTAATATACCCTACCTACCCTAGCATTAACCCATACCTAATAGCAAAAACAAAGCTATCAGCTACGTGTAAATATACATTCTTATACACCACTTCATTATACTCAGTACAGCTTGTGTTGCATCGCTATACTCAGCAACACAGACAAGGCTCGCTTCGCTTCGGCTGTCCCATCTGCTTCGCTCACTTTCCTAAATATTTGATACAACCACAACTACTCTACTTTAACTTACCTTAACCCTAGCTCCAAAATGTCTTTACAAACAGAGAAAAAAAGAAGAAAGCGTTAGTAAACGGTTCACAAGCCGGAAAACAAAAAACAACAAAGAATGAAATAATATGCCCTGGAATAACCAAGAAAGTCCAAAAACCGTCATACTTCTCAAATACGTCCACTAACCGGAATGAAAAAACTATACGCACCAAGACATTCTTAACAAAGCAGAAAAAAAGCGTTAGAAATAGACACAAACCAGAAAACAAAAATAACGAATAAAAACTACCCTAACCCTAACCAAAATAACCTACTCTAACCCTAACCTCTAACTAAAACAACTTACCCTAACCTACCCTAACCCTAAATCTAACCTAACTCCAACCTAAATAAGTGCGCCATATAACCGAAATCATGCCAGCAACAAACAAAGCACAATTTACACCAACAATACCAAAAGTATGGTGCAATCAACGAAATTATAGCATAAAGCGGCAAAATAATCGACACAAAACAAGTGGCAAAGCGGCAAAGCAAGCAGCATAAAGCAAATGGCAAGGCAAGCAAAACTAAACAAATAGCAAAGCGAGTGGGTAAGCAAACAGCAAAGCAAATGACAAAATCACAGCATCTAAATGACGGATTCACACCAAGATGACGACACCAAAGCGACGACACCAAAGCGACGACACCAAAGCGACGATACCCAAGGACGACAACAGCGACGACACCACAAAACATGACAAACTAGTACAGAAAAAAAAAAAGTAAATATTAGTACAAAAAAAAAAAAAAGTAAAACATTAGTATGTAGTACAAAAAAAAAGTGATTATCAATAATCACTAATTGTATATATATCCTGTGATCAGAGGTGCACCATGATGCAGGGTGCACCAAAATATAATTCTCGATAAATAATATAGAAGTTATTATTATTTTTTTTTTTTGTAGTTAAGGTTAGCTTCTTTGGCTTGTCACTTTTATTAGATTATAGAATCATATAGTGCCCTTTTCAAGGGGGCCCCAGACAAGTACATTCTGACGAAGATACATTCTAGCCATACCTGCGCCTTTTGAGCACCTAATTAAGTAGCTACCTATTGCTAAGTATTACACTAGATGCTGTACCTATAACCCACTATTATTTGGATTACTCAATTAAACCTTCTGATCCGAGTTTCCTATACTAATCCATCTAACCTCACCCGGGACATGCAATACATTAGTCAGTCCAAGTTCCAGAATCGTCGCAAACTACCTATAGGACTACCAGTATAGTTACTGATTCATCCTCAAGTACATTACCTGTTAGAGTAGTCTGGTACCCACTATTACTGTATTATCTAGTCTACTTCAGTAACTTATGCCTAGGCCAAGACCAAGTACTTGCAGCTAAAGCTGCTACCATTACCTATTCAGCCCTTGTAGAGTTCACCCAAACCCCAGCACCTCCCCTTCAAGACAACCTGATACCTTTCCTTACAGTACCCCCTAGCCGGTCTCCCCAGACTACCAATCCAGATGGCCTGGAAAAGACACCAGTCTTTTCCTCCGGTCGACCCAGCAGCCTAGTTGATGAAGTAACTTGCCAGTACTCTTGCCTTATCCAGTTCTCCAGTCTGGGTGAAGCCTATTTCAGTAAGCACCGTCAAAACTTGTGCTACCTCTCTACTCAGGTCTTGCTAAGTGGGCTTCCCATAGCACCATTCATCAGATTTACATAATCTAAGGACTTATTATGAGTTTGCACCACCTTACTGGTTTTGTATCCTCTTTGTACAACTTGTACATTATACAAGTGCTCCGAGATCTCCCTTAGATTGACCCGATAGTGCAATAGATATTCTTCCTATATAAGATATGAACGATGTTACAGGATCTTCTTTCCAACATACAAGAGAGTTGCCATTATACAAAAGAATTCAATTTTTTCACCGTCGGTAAGAATTGAACTCTAGATATGTCGCTTGGAGGTGTAACAACTCAACCACTTCACTAAATCGCCATACCCATAATAATATAAAAGTTATTTATCTTCATCTGTTGAATTATTTATACAGAAATTTAAGCACAGAAGTCAAATGCATAAAAACATTACAAAGTATTACTCACATATAAAATAGGTTATATAGTGAAGTCACAGAGTAAATATTGTAAGCTAACAGCAGTATTTATTATTGTATTTTAATAAAACTCCATGCATATTATAAAACTTATTATAAATGCATACTTTTAATAAGTTCATAATTCTGTGTTCAATACAAAGGCCTACTCTATAAATAAAGATTGTTATACACAATAGTATAAAAAAAAACTCTCTATTTTAGAGGTTCAATCATCTTAAAGAGTTTCACGATTGGGTGTTTCTTCTTCACCAGTTTCTTCATTAGTTAATATTGCCGCATCATGCTTTTGTTCTTCCAAATTCCTTTCAATATCAGTGTTATAAGATGAATCATCTTGTTCTTTATAAGACCATTCTGGAGCATTTTCTGACCATGGACAGGCGAAAATTTGCTTCTTGTTATCATAGTATCGATCTTGTTGTAGTTGTGCCATTTGGATTTTAGTTGAATGTATATCGAGAACATTCTGTAATAATTCCTTTAGCTGATAATATGATATATATAAACTAACTGAAATTTACAAAAAAAATAAATCAAAAAAATATAAAATATCAAACTTCATCTGAATGCCACAAATAATCATAATCGCAAATTATAGTATCGTTCGAGTTCTCATCTTCAATCTCACTAATTTCAGGTGAATGATACAAACTATCGGATAGCATACTGAGTAATAATCGCTTTTGGTATTTTATCACTTGTGAATCATTTTTATTATAAAGATCTAAAGCAGCCTTTAATCTGCGTACTCTTTTCTAAAAAAAATTAGATATATAATACTAATTTTGAACAATGTTTTACTTGAAGAACACATACATTATTTATTCGATTATTACGATAAACTCTTTGATTATCCTCATCAATTTTTCCACTTTTTCTTAATTTTAATCATGTTTGACAAGACTTATAAAAAAAACCTAATCAGTTCGTTAATTAACTAACTGAGTGATAATAATTTAGAGCTATTGCTTTTCTTAATTCTGGAATTAGCCAGTTTTGCACCTCTATATTTTTCTTACTAATAAATTTCTCATCATAATCAAATTGCAGATATGGTTTATTAACAGTTTTTAATATTGATTTCATTTCAAACTAAAATTTAAAAAACAAAAAAATCAGAAAAAGAAATTATACAATATATATCCATAAAATTTACGAACTCTTGCTTTTGTTTCATCGACTTCATCTACCAATTCCAAACTGTCTTCTGTTGATAATTTTTTTTTATTATCTTTATACAATATACGCTCTTTTCTTTTAGATTTCCTTAATTTTTTATTTAGCTTTCGACATTTAAGCAAAAGTTTATCCTCATTTGAACCGATGCTAACACCGTCTAAATTATCACCAGGTAACTAATATTTTTAAAATCTTTCGAATTTACTTATCAATTCTTTATTCTCCTTTGTTAATATATCATTTTTATTGCTAAACTCAGAGTTTACAGTTGCTAGAAATTTATTTTCTTCTCTCAAATACTCCACTTCCTTGGAAATTACTTCTAACTGCGAATATTTTTCATGCAAATCAGACACTTGCTTTTTTAATCTTTCGTTCTCTATAAATTGTGTAAAAAATTATATTTTTAGCACAAATAGTAGTAAAATTAAATATAAAATATATATCTAAACTTAATATTAAATCATCGTCAGCACTAGTTCGTAATGGGATAAAGGAAGTATCACTCTCTGGTTCATCTTCATTATTAACTTGATATCGAGATGGAAGCCGTATATTGCCATATTTTTCACGTATTTTAGCGAGATTTATAGAACCAGTAGAAGTAGTTGCTATATGTTTACTAATGTAATAATTCATTCTTTTGTAAATGCAAAAAAATTAGAAAAAATAGAAAAAATTCAATAACAAACATTGGTTAGATTGTGATAATATTTTAGATGAATTTGCATCATAATCTTCATCGACCTCCTCTTCTTAAGAATGTTGTGAACATTAGTTGGATCAAATTCTAGATGATTGTATATAATGACACTCATTAATCTTTTCTTCCTAAGAATATTGATGGAATCACGACTGAATTTTAGTTTCTTCAGGTTTGGCATGAGAATGTTGAAATAGCACATATTGATTAGTCCTGGATTGAATTTTAGCAGATAATGGCTGGGTTTTACAGTGTAACTTTTGCTTTATATTTACTATTGTAGTAAGTATTTTGTGAATTTTTTTTTTTTTATAAATATTGCTAATGTAGTTTAATTACCAACAAAAGGTGTTTATAGATAATGAACTAATTTATTGTTCAAGTCCTACTTAACTTTTTGCAAATTTTCCTACAGCATACCAACTGCAGATAGAAAAGCTGACATGCTTCATCTACTTTTTGCGTGATTATTTATTATAATCATGTGTATAAAAATTATGCATCATTATATTACATATATGTTTGAAAAAGAAAATTAGAAAATGATGACTGATTTTAATAATTATTGTTAAAATTTCCTATTTGAAAATACGCTAAAGCCATACTTTTATCAGATAAATTATGTATTGAACAAAAATATTATCAGCTTAAATATATCATCTTGACACAAATATAATTTCTGTTTTATCTTTATTTTGTCTTAACTATCATATGCATCTTAAAAAATCCAAGTCTTCTAAAATGGTATGAAAAAGGACAATTCAAAGTATTATTAGTAGTAATGAGAAGAATTCAATTTCAAGACAATCTAATCAAGCATCATCTTCACGTAGAAGAACTATATCCAGTATTATTAATAACTTGACTTCTAATACAACCTCTCATAACAGCAATATTAGGAGGATGGTCATATGCAATTGTCTGAATTGTAATAGAAAACTGGTACATTATAATATACAAATGCTTTACGAAATATTATATAATTATTTAGAGAATTTAGCGTATAAACCTTTATCAATATATTTGCAAAACGAAATAGAAATATCTCTTGAAGCTTCACAATCAACTGAAATTTAGCAAAATGTTACTGTTTTACGAGATCAAAATGAAGATCAAAATGAAGATCAAAATGAAGATCAAAATGAATTTATCTTTCAACCCAGGCAATATACAAAATAATACGCAAATTGTTCTGCAGAATCTTCAAATATTAGTGACAAACTAAAAAATGTAGATAACATAGATGCTATAGAATACATCAAAAATATAGAGGATTCAGAACCTAATGAATTTTCTGATGTATTATCTGAAGCTTCTCAAGAATCAGTAAATGAATCTTCAGAATATTTTGATGATTATTCATGTCCTTATTTTGACCAACCTCACTATCAGAATGATACAACATAATACTCAATTTATATAGATATTATTATGGATAATAAAATTTTGTATAATATAATCTTCCAGAAACTGCTATAAAATCACTGTTAAAATTTATAAAATTGTTATTAATAGAAATCGATAGTTCTAATTTTGATATATTTCTTGATTCTATCTATTTGGCAGATAATACACTTGGATTAAAAGATAAGTTTTATAGCTTTGTTGTATATTCAAAATGTCATAAACTATATAATCAGGAAGAAGTGACCAAATTCCGTAAAAATGAAGAACTTTCTATAATGACATGTAAACATGTAGAGTTTCCTAATTCAGCAAAACATAAAACTAATTTATGTGATATTCCTCTATCTTGAAAAATGGTATTATTAAACAATAAAATTACAATTAAATCAGAATTGATATTCCCATTTTCTGGGATTCGACAACAACTTGCTACAATGTTCCAGCGACCTGGTTTTGAAAAATCTTTAAGGCATTGGGTAAATAGAAAAACATTTGACTATCATTTGACTGACATATATGATGGTCAAGTTTGGCAAAATTTTAAGGAAACTAATGAAGAAAATTCACTTAGATCTTTTCAACCAGAAGTGGCTGATTCATATCTTGGCTTGATTGTAAACCTTGACTGGTTTTAGCTATATGAACAAATGATATATAGCATCAGAACATTATATATCGCAATATGTAATCTTCCAAGAGATATTAGATTTAAATGAAAAAATTTATTAATATTGGTCTTTTACCTGGGTCTAATGAAGTAAGTTTTCACAGAATAAATTATTACTTAGCACCAGTTGTTAATGAACTAGAATTACTATGGAATGGTGTAACTTTAGATCAAATGTATGAACAACAAGATGGAAAACAAATTCATGCAGCTCTAATTATGGTTTCGTGTGATGTTCCCACTGCTAGAAAAATAAGCAGAAATATTTCGGCATTAGTTTCGTGCCACAGGTATCAAAAAAAGGCCAATTATGAAAATCATCAACATAACTTTGCTGGAATTGATGATATAGATGAATGGTTATCCCCCAGAGATCCAGTTCAACACCATAAGAATGCATTTGGGTGGCGAAGTTGTAATTCAGATGCTGCAAGAAAGAGATTTGTTAAGAATTTTGGTATAAGATGGTCTGAGTTATTGCGCTTACCATATTTCAATCCAATTCAGTTTATTATTATTGACTCTATACATTGCCTATTTTTAGACATTGCAAAGTTGATAGTAAAATGAATTTGGGTTGATGGGGAATATTAACCGCACATTTTTTAAAAATAATTCAAAAAACAATAAATCAATTTAAACTACCAATAGATATAAGGCGAATTCCATGAAAAGTAGATTGTGGCAAAGGTTTTTTTTACTTTACTGCAGATCAGTAGAGAATATTCATCACTATCTATGCTACTGTATCACTTTGAAATCATCTTTCAGCTGTAAACAAAAAGATTCTTAACTATTTTGTAAAAGTTTGCTCTATTTTAGTAAATCAGATCATTGAAACTAGTTCTATAGAAGAAGCTCATCAAAGTTTAATCACAATTATAAAATTGATTGAAAAGCACTATAGTTAAGATAAGATTACACCAAATCTACACCTTTCACTTCATTTACAAGAATGTTTACAAGACTTTGGACCCTTATATGTTTTTTAGTGCTTTTCATTTGAGCATACAAATGGTATATTAGGTGTATATAGTCAAATTTATATTTAGTACATAATTTTTTTTAATATCTATTATTATTACTATATTCTAATAAATTTTTATTTAGAG